GACTAATTATTGTTAACAAACATATCAGGGCCACCTACTTGATTGGTAAACTGTTGTGTATTGTAGTAAAAATGCTATGGATATATATTAGAGTAGAGCCAGAGTGAGATGAGGATCTAATTGAAAAGTAAATATTTCTTCGCTCGCTAAATCTTTCTGTTTTCTAAATGTCTAAATGGGTTTTTTTTCTATACTGAAATTTCAAGTATTAAACATGTCCACTTCGTAGGAATATGTGTTCCTGAAGATGATCGATGTTTGAAAGGCACCGACGGAGTTGTGTGAACCCCCGTTTTGTGCTTATTAGTACCCAACAGAAAAATGCATCTGAAAAATCGAAAGGGTAGCTACCTCTTTTGATATTCGAATCTGCATGTCTGCCACTGCTGTAGTAAGACACTTTAGTACTTAGTTATTTGGTGTTGGAAGATTTAGTGAAGACTTTGAAATCAATACAGGCGTTAGACAAGCTGGTTGCTTATTATCACTAATGATATTCCTAAATGTGGTTAACTGAATTGTGTGTCAGACTGTGGGAAGAGAGAAGACATGAATACGCTGGACCACCGACGAGAAGACTATACAAGATCTGGATTTTGCGTGTGAATAATTTAGGTTTAATGTCACATAAACTCACAAACTTGAAGACGAAAAGGCTGGCAGGCAGAGAAGACAGGAAGTCAGGTGAACATAGAAAAGACGGAGGTGCTGAAATTCAGCAACAAACAGCGACACTAAACAGCACCAGTCACTATCAACCGAATAAATTTGAAAGAGGCTACTTCCTTCCTTCCTTCACCTATCTGGTCAGGAAGCATGGTTTCGACCACACAGGTGATGCCATAGATGAAGGTGTCAAACCCATGCAGAATCGAAAAGGCGAGATATACCTTCATCAATCTGAAAGCACTTTGTTAATTTACACTCAGTCAGCATAGAGAATCACATTCGGATTCTGTTCAACACAAATGTCAAGTTAGTTAATTCTTCTTTATGGGTCAGAAACATGATTAAAGCGTCACAAAAAGAGTTTCCAACAAGTGTTACTGACTTTTACCAACAGCTGTCTTCGCTTGCTGCACACTGAAGATCACATGACCAGTCGGTAATAATTAGCAACACACAACTCTGACTGGGAACAAACCAATCAAAAACATATGCTTCAACAAATATGTAAGAGAAAATGAAGATGGATAGGGCACACACTGAGGAGACCATCGAATGACATCGCTCACAATGCAGACTGATGCTTAGATGGAACCTGAATGGGAAGCGACGAATGAGTCGTCCTAGGGTGATATGGAGGAGATCGTTTTGGAAAGAGGATATGAGAGACTGACTATTTGCAATTGTTGGCCCAGCTGTAGAGGATAGGAGTAAATAGAACAAAGTAGAGATGTGTTGTTGAACTTTTTGCAGATTTATGTTTTTTCACACAATAGCTACAGTGATTTTAATAATCGGACCTGATCAGACCGTTCTATCGGGTCTTATTGACCGAATGGTCTACAAACTTGCCTTTTTAACCAAAAGGTCTTGGGTTTGAAATCTGGCCGGTTCATACTGATGAATAGTACCCAATTAAGATGCAGTAGCTATCCATTACTCCCTGGCTTTCCAGCATTTCTGCAACGCATATCATCTCGTGATGAAACCTATCACTGATCAACTCCCTGCAAACCAACAGTTGATAATAACTGCGATGCTCACTAGCGATTGGCTCTATACAGGAAGTTACTGACAGTCCGAGTGAGAAGTCATAATCATCTAAGTCAGGCAATTAATTAATTCCACCTTTGTGCTGGAAATCAAACTCGAATTTTTCAAATTGCACAAATAAACACATTCATAGTTGAAAAAACTGGGGAAAATTTAAAAGAGGACACATATCTGACGAATAAAAAGGTTTTAAATTTAGCGCTTGAACATTGAATGTTAACCAGTATTTCCACAGGGATTCGAACCTGCATCATTAATCCATATTAGTTTGTTTATTAGGTATATCACACAGTCAGTGAAACAGTGTTATTTGCTGGATGACGCAGTTTCGAACACAATCTGTTATTGTTCATAACCGTATCACCAAGTATAACCACACAACGTCAAAACTTGAGTTTTTGTAGTTTTCTCTGTTCTCTCCTATTTGTCGTCATAGGCGTGGTAGTAGAATTTTCCAGATGTCCAACCTGACAAGTGTTGAATTATTCCTGTTACACGTGTTTGCAGTTGATTCGATAAATAAAGCCTCAGTCAGTTATCAATCTCTCCTTCTATCTCCCTCCTTGTTACATTGGATTTTAAAACTTTTATCTTATCACATCCATCTTATTGTATGGTTGTGTGTAATTGCATGTAGTGAGTGCTACAGCTGAACTATTCTCCAGATTTCTTATCTGATTCGGGTCAACTAATCTAGATTTTGTTAGGTTTTTATGCCCCACTAGTCTGACTGGCCGCACATGTTCTACTACTCTGACCTGTATATTTTACCTGACGATCATTGCAGGTAGGGTATTAGATAAACTAAATTGTTCTGTTTTAAAGGCTCCACTGGTAGGATCCTTTAACCGACAAAGCTTGAGTTTGTGGTTAATTAGAATGTCAGTCACTTTAATTCCTGACTTGTTAAGAATTCTGTGTAAAGTTTCCGAGGTTCCTTCCTTGTATGGAATTACTACTGATGATTTAGATTCCTTATTGTTGTCCAAAGCATATTTGACATGTATATCCTCATTAATATTACCATTATCATTATTGTCATTATTTTTGTTATCACTATCATTATTTATTTTGTTTTTATTTTTACATTTCCCCACGTATTTCTTGACTAATTTATCAGGGTAATTATTAAGTTTCAAAGCTTCTCTGATATGCTTCACTTCATGTCTTCGATTTTCCTTGGTACTTTTTAGTTTTTTATGCTCTGTCACTTGAACATTTCACGAATCCTATTTTTACTGACATAGGATGGAATGATCGGAAGTCCAAATATCTGTTTAAATGTGTGGGTTACCTGTAAACACTGGTATGTGTTTAACTTCCCATCTTCTTTCCTTTTTACTCTGCGATGTAACATTGGAAGCTCCCTTTCCTGTTTTCCAATTCATAAGTGAATTGAATTGCCTCCACCTTTGAATTAATGCGTTCGAAAAATCTATCTATATCCTGTGTTCTAGGTGTACAGTGAATGTGTCATCTACATACCTCCACCATATTTTTGGGGTTGAGGTGAACGTTTCAATCGCTATGTTCTCCCATCTATCCATGAATATATCTGCCACAACCTGGGGATATTGGTGATCCTATGGCGACTCTCTTAGTTTGTTTGTATATCTTCCCCTTGAAATCAACTCATTTCTGACCAAGAACTGCATCTCTATTCTGCTCATAAATGATCTCCTCTAAGAGTGGATAATACATTAAAAAAATTCCTCACCGGACAGTTTTGGTTTGTTTCCCAGTGAGATCATAATATTTTATGAGTATATTTAATTAAACTCATGACATTCTCCGAATAGCTCAATGGTAACGTCTTTGATTCGAGCTTTAACTGACATCATTTCCAGTCTCCTGGGGGACATGAGTATATACACTTTGGCAATGGTCGCCAATACGCACAACATGTAACTTCTTGATGACTCTCTGTGATGATAATAATAATAATAGCACTTGCTATATTCTGAAAATTACATTTGCATACAATACAGAATTCTCAGAGTTATTTCTTGTAAAATATGTTTTCCCTTTGTGGAATCTTCAAGTACAGTATCAATCAATAGTATGTCATATGACACAGCATTGTTCTGTCTGACAGAAAACCCAATCGTCTACGACAATTCTTTTCCTTCAGATTTTCTTCTTGAAGTGACAGAGAAAAGTAGATGTTTTCTATAGTTTGGTTTGTAAGGGTTATAGTTTTGTTTTTACGAGTTGACTACGGATTATTGATATCAGTTAGAGAACCATTGAAAACCAGGGCGTTTTAGTGAGAAGTCGGGACCAGTGAGGTCCATCCAGGTGCCACGTAAGAGGGTGGATGTCCCACCAACGACAATGGTTGAGGTGGCGCTAAATCACGAATTGGTAAAAGTTAGAATTCATGTACTGGCCATTGAGGAATCAGATCCCAGTGGTTGAATGATATACAAGCTAGCCTTGGAACCGGAAGGTCCTCGGTTTGAACCCCAGTGGGTGTGTACTACCAATGATTCACAAACTAGAATGAAACAGCTGTCCAATACTCCCTGGTTTTCAATGGTTCTCTAACTGATATCAGTCTGTGATAAACTCGTAAAAAAAGTAGATATACAAAGCTGGATAGAAATTTAGCTATCCCTGAGGGTTTAAGAAGGTCACCTATCTCGTATGCTCAACTAAACTAACTGTGGTTAAAGCTAGTCCTACCATCTAGGTAAATTTATAATACTCATGTGCGAATTCGTGCATATGACAGGTCTAAAAATGATTTTCAGGGATTTGATTGGTTACAGGATTTCATCATGAGCTGACATTCGTTAGAGAACCATTGGAAAACCTACTGGGAGTACTGGACAGACATTTCGTCAGGCTAGTTTGGGACTCTTCATCAGTACGCACCCACCGGGATTCGAACCCAGGACCTTCCGGTTACAAGGTGAGCTCGTATACCATTAAGCCACTGGGACCCGATCCAATGGTCCTTGAATTCTAACTTCTGCCAATTCACGACATAGCGCGACCGCTAGCCAATGTCTTCGGTGAATATTTGTCCTCACACCCGACCCGACCCAGTGGCTTAATGGTATACGAGCTCGCCTTGTAACTGGAAGGTCCTGGGTTGGAATTCCGGTGGGTGCGTACTGCTGAAGAGTCCCAAACTAGGATGAAACAGCTGTCCAGTACTCCCAGGTTTTCCAATGGTTCTCTAACCAATGTCAGCTCATGATGAAATATAAAAATGATTGTTAAATAGACTAACTATATGTATATATATTTTTCTATTTTATGTTTTTCCCGCCTAGATAACCTTGTTCTTCGCAGTTCTACCCATCAGTTATCTGATTGGCTTCGTAGTCTCATTGGCCACAGAATCGCCTATGCTAGTTACCAAATATGTGTTTGGAAGCAAACAACCTTCACCAATAGAAAATTAAAACAAATTCAAAATGGATTCAATAAAACAAAGAACGAAAGAAAGAAAAAAAAACAAAGAAACAATCGAATCTCTTTTCTACCTTTCATATGATTTCCTATTATTTTTAGTATAGATATATATATATGTATTATTTAATATAAGTGAATTTTGTTTTAACGTTATGCTGCAATAAATCCTATTTGTAATTACTTTTCAAGTTATTCTTGCATTATTACACTTTTTTACTGTCTACCTTTTCAATTACGTAACTATCTTAGTAGTTTGTTTCCTGATAGTCAGAAGATTTCAATGATCCGCCTAATTATTCTGTGATTACATTCACTTGCATTAGTTAGTGAATTTTTTAAGATTAATTTCTTGATCAAAGTTCAATTTTCTTTGTTTTATATAACCCTGTGATGTGCAAGTGCACAAATGACTAAAATATAATTATTTTGTAGTTATTTGGACTGTTTATTATTTTCTTATGTTTCTAGAAGACAAGGATCAGTCATTTGGGAGGGGGGGGGTTACTTCTGTGAATACTTTCAAACCAGTCTTGCTAGAACTCTAGCTAACCACACAGGTCATCCACGCCTGGTTTATACGACTCTGGAAAAGGGAGAATGTTGGGCATAAGGCTAGTAGCCACCACTGTGACGACTAAAACCGACTTGTGTTGTGTTGGAGAGCTGACTAAAACCTCCTTGAGTTGCTAACAATCACACAGTGCTGCAACAGCAGCAAAAAGTGGTTATTCGCAATAGAATCTGAGGTTCTTAACGATTCCGTTAGGCACATATACATAGATCTAATAGGTTTTCGAATACAGAACTAGCATTAAGAATCAACATTATGTATTTCTTACAAGGTAGGATCAAATAACTTTCAGAAAGGATCATGCACTGAACACTTCCTTCAGGTAAACCGAGGTCAGAATCACCTTGAGTGAATCAAACAAATTTTGCAGTCACACAACTTTAAAGAGAAGAAGCAACAGAATTAGGGATTGAACAGAAATGACAACAAATAACAAGGGTTAGGTTAAGAGGTGATATGCAAAAGTTAGGACGGCTGTTTTGTCAGGCTAGTTTGGGACCCTTTGTCAGTATACATCCACGGCCAGCGTCCGAACCCAGGACATTCTGGTCATAAGGTGAGCCAGACTTTGGGCCATTAAGCCACCGCGAACCAATCCAATGGCCAGCCTATGGATTCTAACTTCTTCCAATTCATGACATAGTGCGACCACTTCACACAATATCTTCTTCGATGAGTTAGTTACTGCCTTACCTTCAACCTGCTGTACCTCACCGGTCATAGCTTCCCCCCACTAGAACCCTAGGTAACCGCGTGAATAGAGCTAGTCGCTAGTAAGCATCAGATATCAGCTCATGATGAAATCCTCCAACCAATCAATCAAACTAAATCCCTATAAAAACCAATACTTGAAAATTACAAGGGCAGTTGAAATGTCCAAGTAATTATCAATATTGTAATTAGGTCGTTCAGAAGAGGTTTTCTATTCCTTTACAACAACCACTACCGAAACTTCATAGCTTGAAGCCATTATAATTCTACTCAAGATTGAGGGAATGAAAAAACACAGTTCACACTGTCAGCAGGCAGTGCATAGCAGAAGGACGCAGATGTCACAAGGAAGTATCCCCTGATCTGAATAGTTTGCTATTTGAATCAACGTGGAGTAATTCTTGGTTGTTTATCACTCGATCGAGGCTTTCCTCTGCTTCAAAATTATGCACAATCACTCTCCTTCTATTGAAATTACGAGAAACTCTTTTCAGAAATGATCTTCATATTTATTTGTTTTCTGCATATTTGCATTGACTGAAGGATAGACAGCCCTTTGATAAGCATTGTGCTAACCATACGCTGTCTAGAGGGATGACGAGAGATTCGAAATTCATTCAACCTGCTCAGAGAACACAACTGATTCAGAATCAATAGATGTGTAAAACTTGAGCACTGTGGTGGTATCAAGTTACTCCATATTAGATTGTTTATTAGATATATCACTCACAGTGAGTGAAACAGTATTATTTACTGAATGACACAGTTTCATTATGGTTCATAATCATATCATCAATTATAACCACACAACTTCGAAACTTGAGTTTTATAGCTTTCTTTGATCACTTCTATTTATCGTCTTAGAGGTAGAAGAATTTTCCAGATATCTGGGTGGACAGGTGTTGAATCATTCCTGTTACATGTATTTGCAGTTGATACGATAAATAAAGCCTCAGTCAGTTATCAATCTCTCCCTCCCTCCACCCAGCTGTCACAATAGGTTTTAAAACTGTCATCTTATCCCATCCATCCTATCGTATGGTTGTGTGTAATTGCATGTAGTGAGTGGTATAGCTGAATTATTCTCCAGATTTCTTATCTGATTCGGGTCAACTAATCTAGATTTTGTTAGGTTTTTATGCCCCACTAGTCTGACTGGTCGCACATGTTCTACTCCTCTGACCTGTGTATTTTACCTGACGATCATTACAGGTTTGTTTTAAAGACTCCATAGGATTGATCCTTTAATCAACAAAGCTTGTTTCTAATTGAGTTTGTGGATGGTTTGAATAGTAGCTACTTTAATTCCTGCCTTGTTAAGAATTCTGCGTAAGGTTTTCAAGGTTCCTTCTTTGTGTAGAGTTACTACTGATGATTTAGATTCCTTATTGTTGGTGTCATCATTAATATTTTTATTTTGATTACAGCTTGATTCCACACCGTATTTTTGGTACAAGTATGGAATTTTCAGCGTGGATATCGGTAGCCCAAAATTCGCAGGCCGACCGTAGATATCAGGTGTGCGTCGGCGTGGGCTCGAACCTCGGACTATGTGCATGGACTAGACGCATCAAACTAGTTACTAGTGTCGAATATCCACTACAGTTCTACAGAAGGTCAATCGCGAGCCCGAATAGCTCAGTGGTAACGTCTCTGACTGCAGCACTGGGTGACGCGGGTTCGAATCTCAGAAGGAACATGAGTTCCTTCAAGGTTGCAGATACGCCTTGCTGACGACTGCCATTTACCACGAAACCTAGGTCCAAGGCTTCCTGCCGATTGCCTCCAACCATCTAGTACCATCAAATCAATGTGATTTTGGTTATTAAGAGACAAAATAAAACGATGTATGTCGGTTATTGTTTGTGCCCAGGGGAAAAATGATAAGAATTCATATTCGGCAAAGTCACTAATAAGTTTTTTCTTGAAGTTCAGTAAATAATTACAACTTTTCATGACGAAAGCACATGCTAGTTTGTAAGGAAACTATCTCAGAGTATGTGAAACTGATTGCCCCACTGCCTTCAAATGAGCTTTGCCTTTCGTTATGAGGTTACGACTGATTAGGCAACTTTCGCTGGTAGTCATGCTGTGTCATGAATTGGCAGAAGCTGGAATTCATGGGCCGGTCATTGAATTGGGTACCAGTGACTTAATGGTTTGCGAGACTACCTGGTAACCAGCAGGTCCTGGGTCCGAACCTTGGCGGTGGGTGAGTACTGAAGACGAGTCCCAAACACTAGGACAAAACACCTGTGCAGTACTCCCTGGTGGTTTTCCAATGGTCATCTAACCGATCGATATCAGCTCATGATGAAATCCTGTAACCAATCAATCAAATCCCTACAGACCAATACTGAATTGTATTCAGTAGAAACATGCTTCCTTCACCAGGAGTAGAATGTATATTATGTGCTGTGATCCTGTTAAGAGCTTTCGGTTTGAAATCTCTTTGGTAACTTATATTTTCTGACGGACGAATAGACAGACAGGCCAGTGTAGGTTCACTCACAGAGGTGTATCACTTTAAGATGGTACACACAAAAGGGAACTGAGTTAAATGAAACACGATTACTCCTACAGTATAAAAATGAAAATGTGACAGGAAAGATGGAAAAATTAAATAAAGTATAAAATGAGTGTTCGTAATTTTGAAACATGATGAGAAGTAAAATAAACCTGTTGCGTTTAGAACTTGCTAATTTTTAACACCCATGAGATTCATAAATATGCAGTTTCCACCTCAAGAGGTGGTTCTGACCCAACGGTCAAATAATGTCATGATTTACTTGGCTTACCGCGTTGAGTATTTTCAACCAAATTCGGACTCATTTTACTTCAGTATTCCTGGATTTCATGTAATTAAAGCAGTACAGCTTACTATCGTTCATAGCTTCATCATCCTTTGGGGGGTTTGACAATAAATCCATGAATTATATGAAATACCAAAACAAAAATACGACTTAGTAAAGATATTTAAACAGTATTAAATTGAATTTTTGATATTCCCATCGATTGATTGGACCGAAGTGCTCGGTCTCAGGTTGACATGTTGGCATGCAATTAGAATTGACTTGGTGGATGGTGACGACTAGCAGTGGAATCCAGCCAGGATACATATTTCGTCCTATTTGTGACGTTTGGCGTTTGAAACTATGGTCACTGGGTTCGAGCCTCGGTGGGAACATCATCATTCACTGCGGAATGCAGGTACATCCGGATGATGAGTCCCAAATAGGACGAAACGCGTGTCCTGGATTCCACTGTTAGTCACCATCCACCAATTAAATTTAAACAGTATGTTACAAATATTTGAGGTGTGTGAGTTAAAAAGGAATACAGTTACTTTCAAATGGGACTTAGTTCAATTCCAAAAGTTTAACAGTATAATCCGGAGATACAGTTCCCCTGGTATGCTTCGACGGCGTTTTATCCATTGTGGATACTATCAACGTGTTGCTGAATACTCTTTGCACGAGGACGAGAGATTACTGTGAAATCCGAAGTATGCAACCAGAAAATTAGTGTGGCAGATGGACAGTTGTGGAGAGTTAGAAGACGAAGCATGGATTAAGATGTATATATTTCCGAACACTCGAAAAAGTTACATTTACAACAAAAATTTCGATCAATTTAGGTTGTACAATCTGGACTGCCAATTTGACAGCATCCTTTACCTCTAATTTCAGAACCATTCATTATTGATTTCACTACACTTTAGTAATAAGACAAAGGCTGCAGAGGTAGAAGTGTTTATACATCAAATCTGGATTTAATTTACCTTGTGGACATAAAATAACCTCATTGGACAACTTGTCTAACTTTGGTCCAGTTACCAGCCAATCAGGAGAGTTTATTCTCCTCTGACCTAACCGAATTTCAATGTAGCTAAGATTGTATAAGTATGTATCTCTCCTTAACAAAAATTCTTTACCAATTCTCTTATCTCTTCCCGTTACAACCCTTTTTCTGACTATCACTTCTGAAAAGATATCCTGCTTTTCTACACGACCACTTTTACTTGGTATTTCTGCTTAGTCATGAGGTGATTCAATCAATTCCAGAAGACTTTTAAAGTAACACTATTTTAATAGAGGGATATTGTAGTAAAAGTTATTAGAATATTCAAATTTTTGCCTTTGGTG